CAGTAAATAGTGATTGACACTGCATTTAAATTTTTGAATATCAAAATTGACTGAAGAGCATAAAACCAGAAAAGAGTTCCACATGCAAAGAAAAAAACGTGTTAGCATAGAACTTATGGTTACATCTAGCCAATTCAATCTTGCTGCCAATCTAGTAATGCATTTAAATTCATAAAGTCTAGGTACCAAAGAAGAAAGCTCATCTGAACAATTACCATGAAAGTATTTATAGAAAAGGGCCAGGGAAGTAACTTTATGGTGGTGGGAAAAGTGACAGAAGCTGACCTGCCAGGTTAAGACCTGTAACATTGCAGATTCTTTGGATTTTATCAAGAATTTTTAAATATGTAGCAGAATCACCAGACCATATGTGATAGAAATATTTTAAGTCGACAAAAGGTAGACATAGATATATAAAATAGATTCTGGAGACAAGAACTGTCTAGCATGACACAGTGAACCAAATTTCTTCGCAGCAGACCTAGCAGGAATTCAATATAGTCTTTCCACTTCATGTCAGCCAGAGAAAGTGCATTGTGTCACTTTCATGGAGGTTAGCATCAGTCATGGAAGGGGGGGTCTCTCAGATGATTAATTGAGAGCAGTTTTGTTTTGGAGACATTGAAGTTAACAAGCCATTCTTTGCACCAGTTAACAACAAACTGAAGGTTGTTTTTGACATCAGTCACCAATTTGACTGTATCGATCTGATCAGACTTATTATTGAAACAGGAGTAAATGGTTGTGTCATTTGCATAGATACCAAGTTGAGAGCTGATGCCATTGGGAAGGTTGTTAATGAAAATTAAAAAGGACAGAGCCCTAAAAATAATAAACACTATTATAGTGTTTATTGGAATGGTTAGCAAAACATTGGCTAATTGCCAGTTGATTCAAAACTTTATAAAATGGTAAATAATAAGGATTTCCTTATACTTGGTTCATATATTTTAATAATTTAGTAAATGTTTATAAATTTATGAATAAAAAATTGTTTTCATATTTATTTCTTTATAAATTGGTAAATGATAAATATTGCATTGTATTAGGTTTTAGAATGTTGTAAATATAAAAATATTCTTGTAAATAAACAATCTAATAGTGTTTAATATTTCCATTGTAAATTTTCAAGGACAAAAAAAATGTATAAATTCACTTTCATCATGTTTAAGTTTTAAAATAAATATTGCCAAGGAGTGAAGGTAACAAAAATTACAGTGAAAGTCGATGAAAAAAAAAAAAAAAAAAAAAAAAAACTAAACTTTTTTTTTTTTTGGGAATGAAGGTCCAAAATTGCCTACGTGTGTGTACATATCAGAGATCTTTTATTTTGACATGTTTCATCGATGAACCAGCATCATAAGAAAAAATAATTTCCAAAATGTGTTAAATGTAAATTTAGTTGGCTATAAATGGAAAACATGTGGACATAATCTCTGACTTATTATGAGGGTCGGCTAAAAAAGTTCATAGGCTGACCAAGATACTTTCATGGAATGTGAGCAAATGAGGTTTATTTTTCAAGATAGTCCCCCCCCCCTTGGGGTCCACACACTTCTTCCATCAATGTTTCAGTGCTTGGATCTCATTGGTGAAGAAGCTTTCTATTCTGTTTGTCAGAAAAGTCATCAACAGCAGATATGATGTCATCATCACTGTGATATTGGGTCCCAACCAAGAGTTTTTTCATGTTGGGGAACAGATGATAATCAAGAGTGGCCAAATCAGAAGAATAGTCACACTCACACACAGCAGCCATTGAAACCAAGAACTTGTGTGCTGGAACATTGTACTGATAAAATGTCAGTTTTTCTGGGCATTTGGTTTTGATAGTTATTTATAATTGCCTCAGCAAACTAGTACAGTGCTCTCCATTGATGGTGTGGCTCTTTTGAAGATAGTCAATAAATACAATGTCTTTTGCATCCTAAAAAACTGAGACCATCACCTTCCCGGCAGATGAAATACCTTGACCTTTGGAGCAGGTGAGGAGAACTGTTTCCACTGCATGGATTGTCTTTGGCTCAAAGTGATGAACCCTACTCTCATTTTAGGTTAAGAAACATTCAAGGAAACCAGCTGGCTTTGCCTCAATGTCAAATTTTCATGTGCACTTTTGATCAGGTGTCAGAAGACATGGCACTCACTGAGCAGAAACCTTTGTCATGCCAAGTTCATTGTGCATAATGTTCTGAACTCTCACACAGGATATGCTAATAGGATTGGCTATTTGAGTTGATCAATCGTCTGTCATCCATCACCATGTGGTTAACAGATCAATGTTTTCCTTGCTGGTGGCAATTGTAGGATGTCCAGACTTTGGTTCATCTTCAAGATTATCCCCTCTGAAATTCAGCTGCCCACCTTTGCACTGGTGATAAAGCTGGATTACCATCCCTTAATACAGCAAACCTGTTAGCATGAATTCCTTTGAGAGCTAAATCTTTTCCAAAGTTTTTTTTTTTTTTTCAAAGTCACTATTAGTTACATTTAATCTTCTTTGAACAGTCAGATGGCAGTTGACCTGGAAGGAAACAATGCAGTTATTAAGAAGAAGAGTTGAAATAAATGCAAGATTTCATAGTTCTAGCCATCTATGAACTTTTCAGCCCACCCTCATATTCCTAAAAACTGTGACATTTAGTAAAAGTACTAACATGGTTGTAGCCAATCTGAAAATGGAAATGAAAATGCAGGCTGTGCTTACAACATGATGAACCACTAACTGCACTTTGTACTCAAAGACCAGGAACAAGCTGGAGGTGTATTAAAAAAAAAAAAAAAAAGAAGAAAAAGAAAAAAAAAGAAAAAGAAAAAAAAAAAAAAAAAAAAAAAAAGAAAAAAAAAAAAAAAAGAAAAAGAAATTTAAGAAAAAGAAAAAAAAAAAAAAAAAAAAAAAAGAAAAAAAAAAAAAAAAATAAAAAAAAAAAAAAAAAAAAAAAAAAAAAAAAAAAAAAAAAAGAAAAAAGAAAAAAAAAAAAAAAAAAAAAAAAGAAAAAGAAAAAGAAAAAGAAAAAGAAAAGAAAAGAAAAGAAAAAAGAAAAAACAGACCTTCTATTCAAATACAGGTATCCAATGATGAAAAACCAAATTTGAAGTAAAAAAAAAAAAAAGTTGTTTTTTCTTAATATAATAATTTTGTTGTAATTATCACATTAGCTAGTGTGTAGCATATATATATATATATATATATATATATATATATATATATAAAATAATATATGAAAAGAAAAAAATTCATAACACAAAAGAAAATAAGCAGAACTAAGAACTGACAGTTTCTCCCCAACCCCACATTTTCCAGCAGCCATATAAATTTCACATAAACTGCTGGTGTTATTGAAACAGTGCTTGATATTATAAAACAAAGTTATAAAGTATATATATATATATATATATATATATATATAATATATATATATATATATATATATATATATGACATATCCAAACACTAGTACTATTAACAAATAACAAAGAAACTATTTTTGGATTGGATGTTAGAATAGTTTAAACTAGTTTTTTTTTTTTTTTACTAAATGTTCACTCAAGAAGAGAATCCTCAAGAACCAATTAATGTAGAGGGGGTTACTGAATGTGCTTGTTCTAAGTGCATTAGAGGTGGAAGCAAGTAAAGATTATGGCATATGTACATTAACATATAAACACGTATATGAGAGTAGATCAAGAAATCTGTGGCTGAACAATCCTACTGGATAAATTCTCAGTGTGCCAGTTTTCAGGGCTCAAATGTTAACACAAATGCACACATCTATACACACACACAGGGATTTTATTTGTGTGTGTGAGTGAAAGAGAGAGAGAGATGCATTTTGCAAACATTAAAATTAAAACAAAAAAATTTACATTAGAAATTCCCAGCATCTCTTGTTATTGTGCAGTTGAACCAACGTAAACAAACTTGGTCCGATGAAGTCCTAAGTGACAAACATATCACATGAAAACTTTTCCCCACTTTAGTTGGATATTTTTGTGACTCTCTTTCCACCTATGCAAATTTGAACTGTTGCTCAATGTATAAAAAGTGCTTAACGAAGCAATAGTGCAGTGCGACTGTGGGAGTGAACATGAGACACATGTAGTTGGATTGGTTGATTTTCACTACTCTGTGGGTGGAAGGAAATGAATCAGGGAACTTTATTACAAGCCAGAAGAAACTCACTTCTGTATTACTTTTGACGACAAAGAGAAAGCCTGGACTACAAGCTATTTCGGCCAGGTAGATGTCAACTGTTTCACAGGGGAGTGGTTGGCACCCAATAAATTGTTGATATGCCACAAACGGGTTTGTTCCAAAGGTTATATAAAGGGCCCGTTTTATCTTGGTAAAGTATTTTTTTTCTTCTTCCTCTTTAAGCTGTTGGTACACAGCGTAGGCACCCTTAACAGCCTCAAAGGAATGACTGTTGCTGGCTCTTTTAATTTGCATAGGTGGCAAATGAGCTCTGCCTTTTCCACCCACTCAACAACAGATGGGTGAGTGGAAGAACCATCGAACCCTGGTATCAACTTCAGGGCCCATCTGTTGTTGAGTGGGTGAAGACAGAGCTCATTTGCCGACTGTGCAAATTGAAAGAGACAGCTGGGGATGTACAGCTTGGCAGAAAGAAAGAACTGTATGTAGCAATCTCCATTGAAGAACCTGACTTATGTGCTACTTTTGACCACAAAGAAAAAGCCTGGACTATAATAACTGCTATAAGCAATTAAAAAGACAAAAACAAAATCTGCAGGTATCTTATGAGCTGGCAACTTGAGCTGTTTGCCCATGTATGCAAAATGAGAGGCATGTCTGCTTTCACTAGAGAAAAAACGTAATTGAAATAGTATACAATAAGACAATTTAAAGGCAGTAGAATTTTAAGAAAATAAAATAAAAAAATAAGTTTTAAACCAAAATGATGATCAGGTTTTAATTTTTAATCTGTCTTTTTTTCTGAGTTCATCACTGGCTATGTATTATATTTCATTTTGTTTTTTTAAATCCTCAGTACATTAAAATCGAGAGAGAGAGATGGCAACACTTCAAATGCCGTCACTGTCATCATCTTTGCATTTGGCCCCTGTGCCCACGATTCTTTGAAAAAGAAACATAATGACCTCCAAATCCGCATCCGGATAAAAATAGCACCACCCACCCCACCCATGTGACCCCGCCCTCCGACCGACATGCCTTTGTTGCTGTTCCCTCTTTGCTGGGACGAACCACGATTGGTGTTGCCACCTCGACCTGATACGCCACCACGACCTGTACCTTCTTTGTTACCCCGGTCAGAGTTATTGTTCCCGGGTTTATTTTTGGGAGGTGGAGATTTGGGCCGAAGACGTTCAATCTCGTCTGTGCAGCCAGTCAAATGACCATGAGCATCTTTGTTGACAACCTGTTTGTACATTTCGGCATTAAAATTGCTGCTTGTGAGTTCAGGTCCAACAGTCACCCACCCGGGGCGGATGGTGCTGTCACGTCCAAAAATGTGCAAGCGCCGTTTACCCAGGCAAAAATGTTCGATAATGTGAAAGATCTCTACAGGTTTATCCTTACAGGAATATTCCGGTTCCTCTTCGATGATTAAATCAATGTCAACATTGGCGTGGATAAAGTCACCATCAGTGCTTCGTTTCACAGTCCCTTTGATGCCCATTAAGCAATGTTCCTGAAATAAACATGAAGATAAAAAAATAAAAATAAGATTTTGATATGTCAAGTGATGTGGCATAAAAAGCAACTGGCAAACTATATTAGTTTAAAAAAAAAAAAAAAATAAAATAAAATAAAATAAAATAAAATAAGGAATAAAAATAAATAAGGAATAAAAATAAATAAAAAAAAATAAAATAAAATAAGGAATAAAATTAAATAAAAAAATAAATAAATAAAATAAGGAACAAAAATAAATAAAAATAAGGAATAAAAAAAGAAAAATCTTCCTCTTGTTAAATCAATGGTTCCATTGCAAGAAAATGTCAACGGCTCATTTCTTAAATTGGAAAAATCTGTAAATTTGTTAGAAGAATGTAAAAGAGAAGGTTGGATAAGAATTAGATCTGGCATAAGATTTGGGGTTAATTTGTCAAGATTTTACTGCCAACCTGACATTGGCATACATAGCTGAACTTAGAATGTTGACAATGATCCTAACTCTTTTTTACCCAATGCACCCCTTTTCAACATATGTCAGAATGTCTTTCCACCCCTTTCCAAGATTGTTCGACTCAAAAGAAGCATTCCATATAATATGCATATATTATTGAAAAATTTTCATTTTTCCCCTATTAGTACATATATGGATTATTTTGGTGGGTGGGGAGAAAGAGTTAGTGGAAAGAAAACCCAGCATGACCTCTCAGTTGTACAGCCTTGGGAAGTTTGAAAGTTAAGAATTTTGAGTTTACCAATCTGTGGCTCAGATCCCCCCCACTTGAAACTCAAATTCCCTCCTGGGTGGAATAATCACAGCTCCTTAGCTATACGTGATGAAAGTATGCTTAAATTTACAAGCATCTCACAAGATAGCTGAAGTATGAAGGATAAAAATAAAACAAAATATTGTCAAAAATACACTTGTTTCCAGTGACTGTTACCTCTCAACTCAGTTCAAAGATCTAGTGAATTGGTTCTCCGCCTATTTTGCCAGATGCACCCTTTATACTGTTAGTCAGAATGTCATTCTCTATTTCTAAGATTGTACAACTCAAAAGTTGCCTTCCAGATAATATGCATATATTATTGAAAAATCTTCACTTTTTCCCTATTGGTACATATACATTTACATGGATTATTTTTGTAGTGACAAAAAAATACAAAAAAAAATAGCGGTAAGAAAACCCAGTGTGGCCTCTCAGTTGTGCAGACCAATGCATCTTGCGGGTTGTGCCACCTTCGAGAGTTCAAAAGTTAACATTTTGAGTTTATCAATCTGTGGCCCAGATTATCCCCTCCACCACCACCACCACCACCACCACCACACTGGAAACTTTGAGATTCCCTCCTATTGAAAATCTTCATTCTTTTACATGGATTATTTTTATAGACGAGTTTCACAAATTTAATAGCAATGGAAAATGTTGATGGATTTTTAAACTTGAATACATGTACAGTAATTTATTTTAATTCTTAGTTAATTATTAAATAAATAAACTAAAGCAGACTTCAATAAACAAAATGTTCAATAGAATGCCGGGCTATTGGAATTCAATAAACAAAATTCTGTAAATAAAAAAATCAAGAAAAAGTAAAAGATTTTCTCTCCTCACTGAAAGCCTAAAATTTCTCCCTGGTGGGGAAATACTCCCTGGTTGAGAACCCCTGGACTACAACAATAAAGAAAAAAAAAAATATAAAGAGATTCCAAGATCAAGCAGAAACAAGCATTTGCGTTGAGATTTATTATTTTATGGCTAATGAACTCTTTGTGCGTTATTTAATAAAAATTCTTGAGCTAGCTCCTGTCTTGTTCTCTCGAAACTCTACAATAATTGCCTGGCTGCCCCTTGTTTTCCTGCTTGTTGGAAATCCTCTTCTGTAGTCTCAGTCTTTAAGAACTCAGATCCTTCTAACTAGCAACCTGTTAGTCTTTTACCATTTTTTGGCAAAATAGTAGAGGCTTTATCAACTCTGAATTGGTTAAACATCTCCCATTGCAGAACCTTCTTTCAGATATGCAATATGGCTTCTCTAGGTCAACTGCTGATGTATTAACTATTGCTGAAAGAGTATCAAGCTTTAGATAACAATGGTGAAGCATGAGCTGTTGCTTTGGACATCTCAAAGCATTCAACAGGGTTTGGCATACTGGTCTTCTTCAAAAGTTGAAAGATTAGGGTATTTCTGGATAAATTTTTGAACAGATTCAGTTTTATCAAATCATGAAATGAAAGTTATCCTGAATGGCCACTCTTCTAGATCTTTTTGTATTAATGCAGGTGTTCCTCAGGGCTCTATTTCATCAACAACCTTTCTGATGGCATCAGTTTTCAACTTGGTATCTATGCTGATGAGACAACTCCTGTCTCAATAGTGATTGGTCTATTAAGATCAAATCGGTAGCTGATCTGAAGTATGACCTACTATTTGCTGTTAACTGCAGTAAAGAATGTCTTGTTAATTTTAACGCCCCCAAATCTAAACTACTCTTTTAGTCATCCGAGAAACTTTTTCTGCCTTCCATCAGCATGGCCGATACGAAGCTCCAAGAGAGTTGCAGCTTCTTAAACTAATATTCTCTGCCAACACAAAGTAGAAAGATTATTTTGAATCGATTGCTAGGTCTACTGCTAGGAAAGTTAGTTCACTGTGTCATGCAATATTATTGGTCCTGACTGGGCATCTCAGCTTCAGTTACTTTCCCATCACTGTAAGGGAGCTTCCCTGTGCCTTTTCTATACATATTTTCATGACAATTATTCTGATGAACATTCCGCTTGGGACTTAGACTTTATGATTTGAAGCACAGTATTGGATTCATGGTAAGGGCTCATTAATTTACAGTTACAATGGCTTGATGTAACTAAGTTCTAGGCTAGCAGTTTCTTCTATCGTGCGTCTTGCTTTCCAGTCAACTTTGACCTTCACAAATTTAAATGCAATATCAACTGTTGTTCTCACTCTTTAATGTTTTTATTTTTATTTTTTTTTTACACTCAGTAACTCCCTTGTGTCATAGTGGCTTTATTGCCTTGCTTGGAATGAAATGATTAAATAAAAAAAAAAGAAAAAATTTGAACTTTATACTGATTCAAAATTTTCCTGATTTTTTTTTTTTTTAAATTTTCAACTTTAAATAATTAAAAAATTATAAAATAATTCCTTATATAGGTTTTTTTTTTTTATTTTTAAAATTTGTTTGCTGTAAACAGTTTATCCTGCCACTTTAAAACAATAATAAAAAATTATATCCTTCTAAGGCAAATTTAATTCAATAAGTTACTGCTGTGAAGAGGTTTTGAAAAAAAAGGAAGTCTTAATGTTTTATTTTTGAATTTTATTGCTAGAGCAAAATATCATGTATTTTTTGCTTATTTTATGCTGTTTCACATTTTTTTTGAGATAAGGAATTATTATTATGTCATTTACTGTGTGAACTAGCATTCTCATCTTGTTTGCTATAAGGGTGACAGTGTCTGTTTTCATATTTCCCTCAGAACAGATGAACCCTAAACAATAATAGGTTATGTTTCTAAAAATGGTTTTTGTATCAAACATCAAATTTGTATCTTTCAGTGAGTTTTACTCTCAGTTAATTTAAAATTAATCTGGTTGGTTTGGAAAAAAAACAAAAGACTGCAAAGAAATTGTTCATTCCCTGGCAATATTCAATCCACCCTGGTAGTCTCACACCATCATAATCTGGTCACATTGCTTGAACTGCCCATGAATTTTTTTTATTGTTCATACCTTAAAGCTTTCATCTCTCTTGGCTTGCCATCATCCTCTGCAAGCTCTTCCTTATATCCTCCAAAAGGAATCTTTTGTCTTTAGCTCTCCAGCAATGTTTTGTATGCTCTTTGATGATGCCTGATATGGACAATTCTTATAATTGCTAATTGGTCAGGATCCCTCTCAAAAACAAAAGCCATTCTTTGCCTTCATCCAATATTCTTTCCAGTTTGATAACATGTGCTGAGCAGTAATACAGTACAACAGAGATATATCCTGCAGTTGGAGGTCCATTTTAAGATAAATTAAGTGTCCGGCCCAGGCTTTACCAATTTTGTAAAGTTGAACTAAATTACTTCCTTATTTACTGTGATAATGGACTATCCCCTACTTATAAATATAGCAAGTAACCTCATATTTGAGTAGTATTTTAGTTTTCCATTCTATACATAAGTATTTAATAAATATGTTATTTGTTTTCCCTACTTTGTCTTTCCTTCAATACTCCCTCTAATCTGTCCTTCCTAATTCTTGGGTATTTTGAACAAAGAAACCATTACAACACAAGGTCACAATGATATTCATTTGATTTTGGAAATATTCTATTCAAAAGTAACCTTCCCTATGTATTATACAAACAATTTTTGGTTCTAAATTCATTTACTACTAAAATTCTACTATCTTTTTATTAATAATATGTTTTGTAGCATACCTACAGGTAAATGAGATATCAATATAAATACGGTGTTGGTCTGCAGTTAGAATGATGATGCAGGTGCAAACTTTCTGCCTGAGCATTTGGCAGAGGATCAGGATTTTTTATTAACCCCTTTTTATCCACCCATGGGCCTTGTTAAATTCAGCCTTATGCCACATTTTGGTAGATATCCTGCAGTTGGAGGTTCATTGTTTAACTTGACTCACTTCTAGCAATTGACTGTTATTTTATCTACATTACTATATACCAATCTTCATTTGATTATTCTATTTATTCTATTTTTCCACCTTCCCTAGGTTACCAATTTTTATAAATACTACCCCCCAAAAACAATGAATATTGCATTTTTATGCCTGTAGATATTTCATGATCTATTTTGATTAATGAATATTGCAACATATAGATATACATGAAGGATTACTGAAAAACATATAGGTACACCTGTATGAAGGATTACTGAAAAACTTCTTGATGCAACTCACCTCTCCATATCTATCCAATTGTCTAAACCAGATTAATGGGAAGGAGGATTATTGGTTAGCCAAAAAAATTTCAGTAGCCTCTCGTATTTGTGTGCATGTATGAAATTGATACTCATGAACCATATAACAACAAATAAAAAGAATTGTTGATATTTGTTTAATCAGTTTCTCAATGATTGCCCCAAACAGCCCCCCAGTCCAATTGAATCTTACCTTGGTCCGTTGGAAAGTAGCATTGGGCTGCAGATTTTTGTTGTGGCCTGGGTTCTTGATATTCGTCTTCACCCAGCAAATGTCTTCACACCTTCGGAAGCCCCAGCGTTTCAAACACTAAGAAGTTAAGAAAACAAAGATTTTAACAAAGTTTTAATTCACTTTTTTCGCAATTACACCAGACATTCCTTTCTAAGACCTATTTATCTGCAAAGACCAAACCAATCTTCATCTTGAAGATCTTGTTAAAAGGTCCAAATTTTAATTATAGAAAAAAAAAAAAAAAAAAAAAAAGAAAAAAAAAGGATGACCACAATTAAAAAGGGAAAACAACTGTCTTAGTTTAATGTGAAAGGAAAACAAAGAAAATAACAAAATGACTTAATTGGTTATCAATCTCCATTCATCAGAATTTGGTCAAGGAAAGTAAAATTCTATTGTGCACAACTGACTATAAAAAAAAACAACAAAAAACAAAACAAAAACAGAAGGCATGATACCCCCCCCAAAAAAACAAAAACACGTGTATCAATAATATATTGAGAAGTAGGTAAACATGTTTTATAAACAAATCACATCTAAAAATTCAGTTTTTATTTCTTTAGTGGCATATCAACATCTTATGGGTTGAAATTTAATTTTCTTGGGAGTATTAGAAATTTCTTTTACAAAAATGTCAGTCAGTTATATGCCATACATGATACACGCTTAGGTGATCATGTATCTTTCGGTACATGACTGACAAGGCAAATTTTTTTCCTGCAGTAGGTTGCCATTTCTTTCTGCAGTAGACCTGTTGCCATCCAAGGCTATAGAACCCAGACTGTGCTGCTATTTACCCAAAGCTGGGGGAGAAGAGGAGGATTCATACCTTTCACAAGCAAATAAGTGAATGTAATGGATTCAACTGGAATTTGAACTTGGCTCTGCGATTCCTCAATCTGAGCTGCTATCCATGATTCCAATGTGTACTGATGGTAATTTTTTTTTTTTTTTTTACTAATACAATGTATTGATGGTATTTTTAGCACAAAAATTTAGTTTTTATACTTTCATAGTGTTTTGACACCAACTTGGGGGGGGACTATTTGACCATAATTGGGACCCTAACAGGTGCTACTACCCCAGGTCATGGTGGACCTTGGAACAACAGTAATTAATAGGTGGTTCCACATACCTCAAAACTTCCAATCTCCTGATTAGATGCTTTGCTGCTCAATATAGTTTAAACTCATACCCAGGAGAATTCTGTTTTTATAAAGAATTTTGTCTTGACTTAATGAAAACAGTTTTAAAGACTTTTAAAAAGATAATTAGAATGTGCCTGATGCAAAACTGAGAAAACATGTTCTCTTGGAAGAATGATGCACATTCCCGATTTTATATAACATGTTCTCTGATTGCAGACCTCCTGGATATAACAGCAAACCTATACATATTATCTATAATTGCCATTTTCAACAAAATATTTTCCAATAAAAAATTAACACTTACAAAGTTTGGAAAATGGAAGAAAAAAAAAAAAAAAAAAAAAAAAAAAAGCAAAAAAAAAAAAAAAAAAAAAAAAAAAAAAAAAAAAAAAAAAAAAGCTGGGGATCTGTGGAAGGTAAAACAGATGGTTGTAATAAAGATTGTGCCGAACCAATCTTCCAAGTGACTAAGCCTTGAAAAATCACCCTTCTTAATCCTGACTTTTACTTGGGCTCGCTCAGTATTGACTAAGCTTAGTTTAGTATATCAGAAGGTCAAATGGAGTAGGGAAGATTGCATTCTGCCAATTTTCCAAGTGGGGAGGGCATACCTGCCTTAAAAATCATTTTTCTTATTCCTTTTTTTTTTTTTTTTATTTGGGCTCAGCATTGACTAAAATAGTTTAGTATTTCAGAAGGACAAATGGAGGTAGGAAGATTGTGTTGTGCCAAACACTCCTGTGAGGAAGATATGCCAGCCTTGAAAATCAGCCTTCTTAATCTTGGCTTTTACCCCATCACAGTATTTATTAAGCTCAGTTTAGTATATTGCATTGTCAAATAGAGGAAGGAAGATTGTTGTGCCAATCTTCCAAGTGGAAAATTTTGCCTCCCTTAAAAATCATCCTTCTTGATCCTGGCTCTTACCTTGTCACAGTATTTTTACTAAGCTCAGTTTAGTATATTACAAGGTCAAATGGAGTAAGGAAGATTGTGTTGTGTCAATCTTCCAAGTGGGGAGGGCATACCTACCTTGAAAATCATTTTTCTTAATCCTTGTTTGACTAAGCTTAGAGTAGTATATCAGAAGGCAAAACAGAAGTAGGAAGATTTTGTTGTGCCAATCTTTCAAGTGGGGAGGGCCTCCCTAACTTGAAAATCATGCTTCTGGTATCTTTTTTCTTTCACTTTGGATCAGTATTAAGTATAGCACAAGGCCAGATGGTCATGGGAAGATTGTAATGTGACAAAATTTTCATGTCTTATTAAAAATAAATAAAATCGTATCAACAGAATTCTGGGCTGTCATGAAATTCCTGTCTGCAAAAACAAAAAAAGTATGAGTCTATGATGCCAACATTGAATAACAAGTACCGGTCATTCTCAAATGTGAAGCTGTGAACCAACTTACATTATTGACATGGAAAGCTTCAATAGCATAAACTGATGAAATTGTTGATCATGTTCATGACTTAATATGTTGAGTAGCAGGGTCTCTTGAATTTCCACCAAGTAGTCTTAAGTTGTCTGAATTTCTTAGATGAAGCCTTGTCAATTATTATTCATTTTCACTAGTATTTCTTTTCATCTTATTTCTCTTGCTTTTCCACCAAGTAGTAATAGTCTTAAGTTGTCTGAATTTCTTAGATGAAGCCTTGTCAATTATTATTCATTTTCACTAGTATTTCTTTCATCTTATTTCTCTTATGCTTTGTCAATTCTAAGACCATTATTTTCTGATCTTTGTTGATGGTCTGAGTGTTTCAATAAAAGCTCAGTAGAAATCAGATAAAAACTAATGAAAATAATAATAATAATAGCTTCACTATTTTTACAAACCTCCATTTAAATCAATTCTCGATATTTTTTCATTGAAATCTCATGTGCTTATATGCGATTTAAAAATCGCAGAACATTAAAAAAAACACGTCCTCTTTGGGCACAGACATCATGCCATTCCCAAGGTACTAACTGTTCTTCCTCTCTCCAGGCCTTCAGCATTTCCACACCAAATCCAGAGAAAGGATCTCTGAGCTGCCACTGTAGGAATATCCAGTCGTTCAATCTATAAGATCGGACAAAAAAAAAAAAAAAAAAAAGAAGAAATTTAGATACAAATGTATCATCTAGAACTGGCTTACAATCATTGCTATGAGTTAACCATTGTCACCATTCAATCATTGCTACTCAAGCTTACATTTTATAAATACCCTGTCAATAGGGGCTTAGAATATTTCAAATACAAATATACACAACAAAAAAAAAAGAAAAGAAAAAAAAGAGCCACTGTCCAGGTGGATACTTGCAGACTAGTTATAAACCCAACCAACACATATGTTTCCGACTCTGGTGTATGGCATTTTTACTTCTGGCCAAGTCATAAGTGCAACTGTTAGCCAAAACTGGAGGCCTATTTCAAACCTCATTGTTCCACTGGGATTGAAGATTTTTAATTTTAGTTTGGATTTGCTGCTGCAGATGTCTTCTTGAGAAATTCAATTAAAAAAGTAGAGATTAAGTGCATAATTAATTTGGCTTGAAAAGTGAATCCTCTTTGTCTTGGTATAATTGTCTTTTCTAATGTCTTATTACAGATAATATATAACTTGGTGGAGCTTCAATTCATCAATTCCACCCAGTTAACAGAGGATGTAGGAAATGTTAGATGCATTTTAATCTTTAATTATTCACATTAATCTTTACCAAACTACAGGCGAAAATTATCACCCACTTTCACATAGAAAAGTTTTCCACCATTCACCTGTAGAGTAAATATTCAAAAACATAAAGTGAGGAGTAAATTATGTTTTGACAGGCATTTTTCCTGTCTTGATAAATTCAAGATGGCCAATGTGATTAAAAAAAGTAGAAACAATTTTATATTAAATAAAAATTATCCTGAGGTCATTTCTTAATTTTACTAACAAAATTGTTCTTTGTCTTCCTTTATCTGAATTATATCCAAAATAAAAATAGTATTTTGTCTGAAGGACTATTTGAACATGAATGACCCTTCTGAAAACTAAAAAATACCAAAATATTTATATCTTATTTAAGAATGTGACCCATTTATTTTCTTTTATCCTCCAGTTTTTTTTGTTTTTTTATTTAATACAGGTTCTTTGCTTATGTCCTATGAATATTTTTTCAGGTAACATACGTTGAAACACCTTTTTAACATTTACCACATTGGAGGCGAAAATTGTTGCTGTAGAATTATCTCCCTTTGCTGCTTAGGTGCATTCTGTCACCTTGAAACTGTTGCTATAAATAAACACTTGTCAATTGTTATTTCCGGTATTTTAAGCTGGAAAATCGCCACTACTGCTTTGGAACAAAGTTAAACTTTTGTTTTCCAATGCCATTTTGAATTCTTCTAGACTCTACACTGAATAAAACCGACGTTAGTTTTTTTTTGCGATTTTTTGTAAACAAAAATGGCCGCATCAATATCCAACAAAGACATTCATGAGTTTTTTCTTGAGAAGGCTTTACTCAAGTGGATATTGACAGTGAAGAGGTCGAAGATGATAACCACTCTAGTGACACGGAAGAAAGCGATGATGACCACTTGTGGCTACTATCATCCATGCCTGAGTAATTTTATGGAAGCTACTGGCAACCATTCATATACCTGATAGCCTTTCTGAAGGTGAATTATTTTGTCTATTTATAAATGACAAAATAACTTTATTTGTCAATGAGACAAATAAATATGAGTCGGGTGAATATGAGTCAGGTGAAAGAAAGAACAAACAAATGCTAGTGTCTTCTTGTATCTAAACATGTCACTTTTTTTTTTTTTTACAAAATGAAAGCCTTTTTAGCGATCTTGCTTCTTATTGCACCCCCAGAACTCCACAAGGAATAATAAAAGTTGAAGTACATTGAATACATTTTTAATGTATTTATTTTGAATACATTGAGCATTTTTAATGTATTTATTTTTTTTCACATTTGAATTTTTTGTTTTTAACATCAAAACATACATGCATTACATGTATTGCATCAAAATATTACTATTTTTTTTTTTTTTTTTTTGTTGTTAAATCTATACACGCAATACAAAAAAATTATAAAAATTTTAAAACAGAAGGTGTTTGTTTTTGCACCCTCAAAAGAAATGCGGTGGCAGGGGGGAACAATTCTAAAAAGAGATTAGCATGGTAATGGTTAAAACAGTTTTAATGAAACAAAAGTCAAATTTGGATCTATGAATTCTAGAACAAAAATATGATGTTAAACAGAAGCAAAATAAAAGTAACTCATTTTATTGTTTAAAAATGAACTAACTATTGAGAGGCTGACCTATTTTGCCATAAATATACTTCTTTATCATAAGAGAAGTACCTAGAAAAAATGACTCTTAAAAATGTGTAGTTTAGCAACAGGGTTAATGTTACATTTACAATGGATATATTGGATTTATTCAATTGTATGTCATTAACTTTATGTTAGAACATTCTTAATTATTTTTCATTAATTTTTCAACATAAAATATTATGTTTGCTTCTATTTTGTTTTTTAATGGAAAACTAAAATTAGATATATTTTTTAAATTCCTTTTAGAAAGAAAACCACAAACTACTGATAAAAATATAAAATTTTATCATCAATATATTTGTTGTTATAACAATATCAGAATATATATATATATTTTATATATAAATACATATATATTTTATATATATATATATATATATATATATATATATATATATATATATATATATATATATATATATACAACATTAATGGAATATTATTATAAATAATATAAATCTCCATATAAATGGAATATATATATTATTTTCTTCTATTTATATTATTAACAATTTTTTATTAAAAATATATATATTAAATATATATAATATAAATATATAAATAAAAAATATATAAATATATATATATATATATATATATAAATATATAAATAGCATTTTTAAATAAAAATAAATAAAGAAAATAAATAAATAACCCAATAAATTATAAATAAATTTTATAAATTAGACTTAAATAAATTTTATAATAAATATATAAATTAAATATATATAAATGCCTTTGTACATATATGACATGGTGGAAGAATATGCCATCTTTAAATAATATAAACTATATATAAAATAAATATATATATATAAATATATATATATACATTAAAATGGGTCAAACAATCTTAAGCATGATGGATTTGATTGTTGCTTAAAATTCTGCTTAAGTGAAGAATATACATTATTCAAAAGAAATTTGCATATGTCCTGACTTAACATGGAAAATCATGTTATGATGCATTGTTTAACATGGAAAATCACAGATCATAAATCAAAATCAATGAACCACTGTATTAAAATTAACTTTCTTGAGAAAGACTAGAAAAATTATATATATATATATATATATATATATATATATATTATAATATATTATACACACACATGTATGTGTAGAATTTCTCAGAATTAATCTGTAGAAGAAAACCATGTATAAAAGGAAAAAAGACAATAGGAAAATTGTACACCATTTACATCATTCAGACTATTGTCCTCATCTTTGTCGCTATATTTATTACAATGTTTCAGCCATTGTACACTCCAGCCTTCTTCAGGTGGTTGGAATGTCTAACTGAACCCTTTATTTTGCAACAAGTTTATTACAAAATATTTCTGGTATTAAAACCTATTTTTACACAAGTTTGGGTGTTAACTATTTGCTCATAGCTGGGACCTTAACAGGTGCTACCACTCCGGATCAGGGTGAATCTGGGAACACTAGCAATTAAGAGGTGGTTCCATGCTCCTCAAAACCTCCTGATCAGAGACCTTACTGTTGGACGTAGTTTATCGTCTTACCCAGGACGACAAGTGCATCTTAAGAAGGCACATTATATTTCACAAATATATTACATCAACAACAGCTACATCTGCAAATTGTTATTCAAAGATTAGAAAAAAAAATCAATCGATTTAATAGAGCTGATATCAGTTCTTTTTAATCTACCATTTGCTCATGTATTGAATATTGCTGTCATGTCTGATGCTCTCTGCTATATATCTTGAGATTCTTGATAAAATCCAAAGAAGAGTATGTAATGTTATTGGTTCTGACCTGGCATCTTGACTTCAGTTACTTCCCCACAGCCATGACCCGACTTCTTTGTCTTTTCTATGAATATTTTCATGGAAGGTATTCTACTGAACTTTCCTCCTTCATATCATGTCTGCATGAATTGAAGCATACTACTGGATTGGTTATTAGGTCTCACCATTTAACTGTTGAAATAGCTAGATGAAACTATAAGTTCTGTTCTAATAGTTACTTTCTTTGCACTTCTTGCCTGTGGAACTATCTTTCGATTTCTTACTTCACCACCACCTACAATCTTCAAAAATTTAAATGCAACATCAATCACAACCTTCTGTCTTCCTGAAACCTATTCTTTTATTGTACTTTCTCCTCACTAAAGTCTTCTCATTCTCTTTCATTCCCATTAAATCTTACTTTCTTAAATGTTTTTTTTTTTAAAAAAAGAAAAATCACTGTTTCAAAAATTATTTTTTTTTAAAATTCAAAGAAAAACACACAAACTAAAAGTGGTTATTGAAAATTCTCAGATTGGCCAAGAAACCTTCAACAAAGTTATTTGTTCATTTTTTGGATTCGGTTTCTCTGAGAACTTTTATTATATTAACATGAGAAAAAAGAGAAGTAAAAAAATTTTTTTATTTACCTTGTCCCAACCCAGTATTTATTATGTAATCTTCTTGTATTTGATATTGAAATTCTTCTAATGGAATCATCAATTAAGATCACATCAAATTTGCAGTCAAGGTCATTAAAATCGAATGTCTCAAGGTCACACTTTAAGTACCTTATATGAAGAGAAAAATGAAAATGAAACATTCAATAGGTCAACAAAATTTTTATTTTCAATAAAGCAAAGTAAAATATTCAGTTTATCTAATTTATTATATTACAGATGGGAATTTCTCAAGTCAATGTTCTAATGTCCATTCTCACTAATGAGTTACAGAAATATTGCCACAACAATGGCTGATGGTAAGAAAAAAACAATATTGTGAATACCACATGACAAGGTTTCCGCTATTGTGCCCTCTGACCTTCTTCCCTAGGTGTGTTGGTCAATCTATGTAACCTTCAGAGAATTTCAAACACAACCTTTTATTTAATCAATAAAAGTAGATAGTTCTTGTTTAACCTTTCCATATCTAGGAGTATCTTGTCTTGTTCTTATTTAGTACTTTTCACATATTGTTCACATTGTCCTGAGATGTTTATTTTCTCTTTCAAGGATGCTGATGATACCATGGACAGAACATGTGATCAACAAATTAAAATTTTAAATTCAAAAATATAAACAAAAAACGAGACTTATACTTCAAATCAGAAAGAGTTCAAATTTCCGGGACATATGAGGAAAGAGGACTTGGAGAATCCAACTTTTTAGGACATGTTAAAAACAATAGGAAACAGGAAGTGTTAAAGTTAATCTTTGGTCAATTATTTCTAGAACAAAGAGTTGAAAGGAAAAATTTCAATTTTCCATCACAATTTTATTTTACCACAAAGAATTTTAAAGTTGTGGAGAGCCATAGTTTTAGTCCTGAAAAAGGGAAAAAACTAAAAATTAAATAACTCCAAAAAAAAGGAAATTCTTCTTCTTTTTCTAATTTTATATTACTAATATACCTTTTAATTTTCCTGTCAGGAAATAGGCAATCATTCCCAGTCCACAAATAAATTCTGTATTTTGTCTTATTTAAAAAGTTTTTTACCAATCTGATCAAACATCCATCCACAAAAATGTAGGTTATATTTCATAAATGTTTGCCTTCAGTATATCTTGTGAGTGTTAAATTCTCCAGACCTTCCTTCCTCAGGTGTCTCAGAAATTTCAGCTGTCTCTTTTTGTTTGTAATTCTAAATATCCTTTTCATTTGCATTTTCCTTAAAACTTCCTAATTGCTAACGTGTTCCATTCATGGTATTCTCAGCATCCTTCTGTAGAACCACATCTTGGTTGCCTCAAGTCTCCTCTTCATCTGTGAGGAAATTGTCTAGCATTCACTGCCATATAAAAAGATTGATATTACATTGAAGGCCAACACTCTTCTTTGGTTCTATTGAAATTTTCTCGTTTCTTGATATGGTTTAGCTTTTTGTTCCCATTTTCCTTAAATCTTCTTTGTCTATACGTTCTGTCCATTATATATATACAGGGTGTATCAAAAATACTTTTTTTAAGCACATTTTTTAAACCAAAACAGGGATAAAAGTCCATATAAACATGTTCACAAATCCTTTGTTTTGGAGTTATTAAGTTTAAAAAAAAAAATTTACGGTATATGGTGCTGTGTTGCCATGTAGACTAGGTTACATTTGTCATTCATGTACATTTGTGGCTAGTCTATCTTCAACATTTAACACATGTAGTAGTTAACTGAGAAGTGTTAATTTAACAATGGTCGGATATTCATCTCATGAGCAGGCAGATATAAGTTTTACATATGCTCACATGAATGAAAATTTGATAATAAATTTTGCATGGCTGTATCAAATTGTGTTTCTAGACCAAAAAGGCAAAAATTTCCAACCTTTGCTGCTGTTTATATAATTAAAATGTCAATTCTCCGGGATTATGTGGCATCACTTAAATTATTTAATAAGTATTTTGGTTTGGTTTTTTTATTTTGTTTTTAATATTTTCAACCTTAAAAATGGGTTATTTAATGCCAAAAATGAAATTTTTTTAGAATAATTTTTTATTTGGTTTAGATTGGTTTGGTTTAAACTTTTTTTATTTATATCAACCTCAATGGGTGATTTAATGCTGACAAAAAATATTTATTGCTGGTAATATTTTATTTTGTTAAAAATCTGTTTCTGGTAATATATTTCCTTCAAAATAGTATTGCTGGTAATAATTTTTTCTCTCAAATTTCAATATTGCTGGTAATTTTTTTTTTTTCAAGTCTCCATTGCTGGTAATTTTTTTTTTTCATTTCAAGTATTTAACCTGGTAAAAATTTTTTTTTTCAAAAAATATTGGTAAAATTTTTTTTTCTTAAAGTATTGTTGGTAATTTTTTTTTTTTCAAAAAAGTATTGTTGGTAATTTTTTTTTTTTACTTTGAATTTATTGTTAAAATGTATTTTTTTTTTTTAAAAAGTATTGTTTTAATTTTTTTTTTTTTTTTCAAAATTTATTGCTGGTAATATTTTTTTTTTGGAAAAAGTTTGGGTTATAGTTAAATTTTATTTCCATAGCTGGAACCCTAACAGGTGCTACCAAATTCAGGTTTAGGATGGACCTGGGAACACCAGCAATTAAGAGGTGGTTCCATGCTCCTCAAAACCTCCTGATCAGAGGCCTTGCTGCTGGACGTCTTACCCAGGACAAAATAAGTATTTTGGGATTGATATCTTAGATTGTACATTTAATAGTGTCTACTGTAAACTTAATAAGTCAAAAAATGAGGAATTTGCAGACATCTGTTTATATGGACTTTTGTCTTTGTTTTAGTGTGAGGAACCTGCTACCAAAGTTTGTAAAAGTATTTTTGATACACCCTGTATATACATAATGCAACAGCCACTAATAATGACATTTTTTATTGACTTTTCTTTTTTCCAGTTTTCATATAATTTTATCAATTTCCTTTTTTTGATTAAATGGTTCTCTACATTATTTAATAAATGGTGGATCTAACATAATATTCATGACTAGCAGTAGAGCCCGGCGTTGCCTGGGGATGTAACAGTAAGAGATAAATCAAGTATCGACCATCATAAAGACTGAAAAATAAAATTGACAAAAGATTATTGTTTAAGGTTGAACACGCATGTCTTAATTAGTTTTTTTTTTTTTTTTTTTTTTTTATCAAACCCAAACTCAAACAAAAACATTGTTTTCAATCGTTATGAGTCTATCGATTGAATAGAATTTTATTATAAACAATTGTCTTGTAAATGGAATTTTAAAGCATTCTGAATGTAAAAATAAAGAAAAAAAGTGTGCAAGACAATAAGAAACACTACCAAAAAAAAAAAAAAAGAAGTTTTGTTGAAATTGGTTGAAAAATGTAGGAAATCCGATCCCATATATAAATGAACACACACACACACACACAAACAACCTGGGTTTTATAATAAGTATAACTCGATATGAGTTGTCCCCCTTTCATTCTGGCAACAGTGATGCCTTTTAATCGTTTTTTCAAATTGATTTTGTGCAAAAACAATTGTGTTTTTCCAATTTTTGGCGCTGTCAGAACCACCGCAAGGTATTTTTACGCAGTCCTGTGAAGTTTTGTTGAAATCGGTTGAAAAATGTAAGAAATCCAATCCAATATATAAACGTACAGACACACACACCCAATCTGCGTTTTATAAGATGTCAAGATGTTAATTCAATTAATTATTAAAAATTTTTTGTATAACTCACATTGGAGGTGTATTAGATTTTCCAAATAAGGCTTTAATTTTCATTGATATTAAAAAATAGTTTGGGTATTATTCCTACATAATGGCAAATTAAACCTAAGAAAATATTAAAAAGTATAGATCGTTTGAAAGAAAGAAGGAAAAAACATCAATATATTTTTTTAAAACTTAAAAAAATTCACCCGCACTGCCAAGTGTGTATTTTAACATTATAACTCCCTGTGTCAGATTTCTTTAAAATTGACATAATATCTAAAATTATCTATCGGGTGATGTAGAGCCACTAAATTTTTTTGTAATTTTGAAAAATATATTCTGTAAACAAATATGTTATCTATCATTGAGAGATTTTAAAGTAAATATTTGAGAAAATGGTCGTCAAAGTTATTTTTTCCTAATATTCATGG